GAGCGCACAGTGATCCCGTGTGACCCCAGAGAGTGCACAGTGATCCCATGTGACCCCAGAGAGCGCACAGTTGATCCCATGTGACCCCAGAGGGCACGCTGATCCCGTGTGATCCCAGTGAGCACAGTGATCCTGTGTGATCCCAGAGAGCACACAGTGATCCGATGTGATCCTGGTGAGCACAGTGATCCTGTGTGATCCCAGTGAGCACACAGTGATCTCATGTGACCCCAGTGAGCACAGTGATCCTGTGTGATCCCAGAGAGCACACAGTGATCCTGTGTGACCCCAGTGAGCACACAGTGATCCCATGTGACCCCAGAGAGCGTACAGTTGATCCCGTGTGACCCCAGAGAGTGTACAGTTGATCCCGTGTGACCCCAGAGAGCACACAGTGATCCCGTGTGATCCCAGTGAGTGTACAGTGATCCCGTATGACCCCAGAGAGCACACAGTGATCCCAGTGAGCGCACAGTGATCCCGTGTGACCCCAGTGAGCCCAGAGTGATCTCGTGTGATCCCAGTGAGCACACAGTGGCCCCATGTGACCCCAGAGAGTGCACAGTGATCCGATGTGATCCCAGTGAGCACGCAGTGATCCAGGAGCCACAGCAGGGAGCCTTGCATGCCCTGCAGCAGGGCAGTGCCTGCACCTTGTACGATGTGATAGTGAAAGATAGGACTGCGGAGAGATTGGGGATGGGAGGACACAGAAGAGAAGGCTATTGTGCAGACCATGTGAGCATGACCCAGAGCAGGGTGTAAGGGAGGATGTCACCAGAGGCTTCAGAGGTAGAAGTCAGCACTACGTACTACCCATTTACTGCCCCTAAATGCCAGAGGGATTTCAGAGCAGCTCCAGCCCTACCCTGTTTCTCCCTCTCCCATAAATGTTTTGTTTGGCTGTGTAAAAACTAGCATTAATTATAGCTTTGCCTGCCAAGAGGTAACCTCTTAGCGTAACTGTGTAGTGCAATAATGAGTAAGCGTGTTACTAAACTTGCTTTAGATGAACTTGGCTCTGTATTCCATTTGATTATAACACTA